AAAAACACCACAAAGAAAACATCATTATCAATACTAAATCCGAAAGAAATTTAAAAATCAGAATTACAGATAACCTCGCCCAGCGAGATCATCACCAGAACTTTGACTCTACTCTTCGACTCTATAGCTTCCCCTCCATGATACATGCGAAGATTCAACCCCGCGAATAAAATTCCACACCATCCCACCATCCCGCCATCTCACCATCCCACTATTCAATTCACCACACTACGCATACTTACATCGTTGAGATTATCCTCTCGAGAACATGTTACTATGGTTTGGATCGAAGTCGATTGGCAAGACCACACCATCAAGAAAACTAGATGAGTTTCTTTCATTCGAAGACTGCTCGAATTTTGTCGCCCTATGGTCCTACCCTAATGATATAACAGTTTATCAGTACAAACATCTACTGGCCGGAGGTGAAGTAACATAACAGCAATGTGCTGATTCAATAGAGCCCAGGAAACTACTAAATGGCCAAGGTAGCTCCAACGTTTGTTTCATTGACAAAATTCGAGACAAGACTGAAAGACATGGTGCATTACCACGCTGGTCGCTCATTACTGTCGGAGTTATTAAGTAATTTTATCCCTTTCTTTATTCCCTCTCTCTTCATCTGGTCGTTACTGTTGATATGGAGGGTTGCAAATGATAATATCACAGTCACATCAACATGAACATTACATCACACATCATACGGGACGGAAACAAATTACTTTTGAAGTGCATTCTAGACGACTATGTTCTATGTAAGATACCAGAACGCGGAAGAGCTAAACCATTACGCGTAAACCCAAACCCAATCATCTTATCGTAAACCGAGGAGGTAAAAGGAAATGGTGTTTTGCATCCTAGCCATAAATCATCGTGAACCCGAAACAAAGCAAAGATGGAGAAATTTTTTGTTTCATTCCATTATTGCATTTATTTCTTGGCACCAGCCTTGACAGCGGCCTTGGTGACCTTGCCAGCCTTTTCTTGCTTCTCAACGGACCTGGAAGAAATTTGTTAGCAACAGTGACGACGAGATGAAGAGAGAGGGAATAAAGAAAGGGATAAAATTACTTAATAACTCCGACAGCGACGGTTTGTCTCATATCACGGACAGCGAAACGTCCGAGAGGTGGGTACTCAGTGAAGGCCTCAACACACATAGGCTTGGATGGAACCATCTTGACGATAGCAGCATCACCAGACTTGATGAATTTTGGAGAGTCTTCAATGGATTTACCGGTACGACGATCAATCTTTTGGAGGAGCTCAGAGAACTTGCAAGCAATGTGGGCAGTGTGGCAATCCAAGACTGGAGCGTAACCGGCACCGACTTGACCAGGGTGGTTAAGAACAATGACTTGAGCGTTGAAGGACTCAGCACCCTTAGGTGGGTCTTGCTTGGAGTCACCAGCAACGTTACCACGTCTAATTTCCTTAACGGAAACGTTCTTGACGTTGAAACCGACGTTGTCACCTGGAACACCCTCAACGAGTTGTTCGTGGTGCATCTCGACGGACTTGACTTCAGTGGTGACACCAGCTGGGGCGAAGGTAACGACCATACCGGCCTTGATGATACCGGTCTCAACACGACCGACTGGCACCGTTCCAATACCACCAATCTTGTAAACATCTTGGAGTGGGAGACGGAGGGGCTTGTCAGTTGGGCGGGAAGGTGGGTCGATAGCATCGATGGCCTCGAGGAGAGTCTTTCCGGTGGACTTGGCTCCTCCCTTGGCTTCCTTCTCCCAACCCTTGTACCATGGGCAGTTGGTGGAGTTGTCGATCATGTTATCACCGTTGAAACCGGAGATAGGAACGAAAGGAACGGTCTTTGGGTTGTATCCGACCTTCTTGATGAAGTTGGAGGTCTCCTTGATAATTTCTTGGTAACGATCCTCGGACCACTTGGTGGTGTCCATCTTGTTGATGGCAACAATGAGTTGCTTGACACCAAGGGTGTAGGCAAGAAGAGCGTGCTCACGAGTTTGGCCATCCTTGGAGATACCAGCCTCGAACTCACCAGTACCAGCGGCAATGATGAGAACAGCGCAATCAGCTTGGGAAGTACCAGTAATCATGTTCTTGATGAAATCACGATGACCAGGGGCATCTAGATATGATGTTAGAAATTTGAAAAGCAGAGGACGAAGCAGTAGACAACTTACCAATGACGGTAACATAGTACTTTGGAGTCTCGAACTTCCAGAGAGCAATGTCGATGGTGATACCACGTTCACGCTCAGCCTTGAGCTTGTCCAAAACCCATGCGTACTTGAAGGAACCCTTTCCGAGTTCGGCAGCTTCCTGTGATGATTGTCAGTTACTGTTGGAAGGATGTGATGGACGTTGATATGATCCAAAGATGACATAATTTGTTTGACGTGCCACACTGTGTCGGAACTCGCAGACAATTTCATTGTTCCAAACAAAAAAGTCCGAGCGCACGAATAAAATTTTGCAAGTGGTACAAGAAAAAAATCTTTACCCCACCGAGGGGCACAGTGCGATAAGGTTGGGCATTGAGCACCCAACCTGTACACGAACAAAGGATGTGTAGAAAGAAAAGAAAAATGCTCACCTTCTCGAACTTCTCGATGGTACGCTTGTCAATTCCTCCGCACTTGTAGATCAAGTGACCTGTATGTAATGTAAGTTGTTGATCGCAAGAATACATAGATCGAGTTGGAAGATCTGCACACGGGGTTCCTTACCGGTGGTGGTGGACTTTCCGGAGTCGACGTGTCCGATGACAACGACGTTGATATGTGTCTTTTCCTTTCTGCAAAGAAGAAACAAATCAGTAAACAGTTTATGAGAATATAGATCGAGAATGAGAGATGATCCTGATGGAAAACTTTGATGGATTGGAAGACTTACCCCATTTTGAAGGTTGTGTTTGGTTATTTGTGGAAGTTTTGTCTTCTTAAATTGAATCTATTGAAAGAAGATGATATTAGTTGATCGATCTTCAAGAAGGTTGATGAAGAAGAAGAAGAAGAAGAGGAAGAGATCGATAGATGGACGGATGGAAAGAATTAAAACTTACTGCACAGGTATGATTACTTGAATCCAGGTATGTGCGACGAAGAAGGAAGAAGAAGAGTTTCGAGAGGATGGCGGGGTTTATAAAAAAAAGTTCAAGTGTGCGGTAGGCTAAGCGATAGAATTTGAACGCTAGTTAGTGGGGTATGATCACGTGACTCCAACCAAAAAGCACCATTTTCAGTCATTTACGGCGGTATGACTGGTTCGGTGAATATTGAAAGTGGATTGATTCTGATCTACTAAATTCACTCTTTCAATTGATATTCATCTACTGGATCACTACTGTATGACTAGGGCCCGTACTATGATAGCTCATGAAAATCATACAAAAAAAAAACAACCTTGAAAGTCAAATAAAAAGGTTCCCAGCAGAAAAAAAGTAAAAAAACATTCAAAAATGGGCCACAAAATGAAGGTTTTGCACAAAGGCAATGAGGTAAATGTGGCGATTGGGACCATTGGGCTCCCAGGATGGCTCAGGCTTACAAGTTACAAGACCATTTCGTTGCTCGAGTGCATTAGGTTTTATCTTGATGATACGAAAACCAATCATTTCTATTCAATTTTGATGCTTCATGCATCCGAGTGGATTCAATGAAATCAATGTGGATTATCTGGCGGCAATGATCTTTACAAGCGGTTAGTGAATTCCTATCTTGATCGAATCCTTGACTCAAATTTTCATTCATTTTCATATCTTTGGTGGAGGGGCAACCAAATTTAGTGAGGGGCAATCTTGATATCATGCAACTTGATGCAAGAACGGTCTTCATGGCCTCAAGATTTGATCTATTTTGATGAAGTGTCACCGTGTTCTCACTACAAGTGGGTTATCGTTGCATCACCTGCATCCATTCACTTGCAAATTTTCATGGTACGTGAGGAGAAGTGTGGAATATCAGTGGATAAATGGGAATTGAAACTGAAGACTACCTAGGTATGATGCGAGTTTCGAAAAGAAAGAAAAAACTATTCATTCTCCCCACTTATCGCCAATCAATTTTATATCTCTTGACATTTCCTGCACAATAAGGCTGGCGTCAGATTATGGAATGGAACTACATATTCCATCCTTGATACGGCTATGGATGTTTCATTTGTCTTTGGATGAACGGTCTGAATCAGTTTTGGAGGTTGAGCATCATCCAAACACAGTCATGTCGACGGTAAGCTTATTCATTCTTCAAAGGTATGCATTGGATGATGCTGCATTATCTCACAGCAAGCTCGAGACAAGATGAAACGAACAAGAAATGCTGGTTGGTGGTGGGGCATGAGTCAAATTACCTACCCCTCAACCTCCCCAATTGTTATCACGATACATTTATGAAAAGAACGGGGGAAGAAAACTCGAGGCTGGAAAGATACCCAGTTTTAGGATGAGCTGAACGACGGCAATTCGACGTTTTAATAATGGATGAAAACGAACCGAATCCATCCACTCAACCCTTTTGCTTAGGTGAGCGGGATCTTCCTTTTTGCAGATGAGAGCAAAGGTGGGAAAACCAATGCACTTCAAGGTATCCGGCAGATACAGTCTGGTGACGTTTGCCTCGAGATTTGTATCTCTCGACACAAGGACTCGGGAGTAAGTCGACAGGTGAGAAAATTCGAGATTAGAGATACGCAATATTGGGATGAGCGGGCAGGCAAAAACTTGACGGATTTACATGTGACTAAGACGAAAATGAAGCTACAACCTTGATACCCGTTGGACAGATTCGAAATACACCACCTTGATAGGTTGATAGGTCCGCCCGATGGACTTATCACGATCTCAACACATTTGAGCAGAGCTCAGAATTATTGGTACTCATCACGAGTCTGCGAACTCGACATCGTGGCTTTGGGTTGGATCTCGTCGGCGTAAGTGAATTTGAGACTGCAGATGTGCAAATTACCACAGCATTCGACAGATGATCTTTCAACATATAGATTTGGAAATAATCGACATGTGGGAAGGCGCAAGGCGGGGAGATGCCCAAGTTCGCAGACGACAGTCCAATGATGGACTTCTTATGGGCTGGGCTATCGATTTCACCCTCGATGGTCTGAATACAATAACAAATCTGCAACGAGCTATAGGTGAGCTAATTCGAGCTTATGGAGATACCCAATCTTGGAAGGACCGACAAATGACAATCTGATCAACTCATTACCGTGTCGAGCTTGAGACTGGCAGTTCATGTAATTTCAGGATGAGCCGGCAGATGAGTCTGATAACTTACCTCTTCCAAATCTAGATACTTCGAAGAAATCAACAAGTAGTGGTTCGGTGTATACCTATTTCATGGAACGAACACGAATTTACGATTTCGAGGCGAATTCCCTCCCGCTGCGAACACAACTAGTTTCGAAACGAGTTGGCAGCAAAAACCAAGTCCACGTCGAAAGATTCTCGAGTCTACGGATGGCAACTCATATTGGCACAAAGCAGAGCTCCACGATGCCAACCTCAATTCAAACATACATATTCTTATCAACAAAACACAGAATAGGAGAAGCTGCACCAACAAGCATATCCCGCGATTGGGAGAGAAATGGATTCAACGATGTAGGTGCAATGTAGGTGGCAATAAGGAGAACCAAACTCCATATGCTGGTGCAATGGAACCTGGGAGTATGCGAATTCCACATGCACGATACAGAGCACAGTCTCAAACGCGACATAGATATATCAGGTTTCTACAACTCCACATACGAACTTTAATCGACTCTTTATCTTACTTTTACGGAGTGCCAAGTCGATATCTGGATCTTTCATAATAGTTTATCAGCTTTTCAGTCTGAATTTGGAGGAGAGGATTGTAGCTCGCATGGCTCGTCTTCGGTGAAGCAGCAGCAGCAATAGCAGCAGTGGCTAGGACTAAGTCCAGCGGCTCAAGGAAAAGACAATGACCTGAAATTTCAAGTCGGGTAGCTGGCACATACAATATCGTTCGAGTACCCAAGCTAGGTGATTTCTTTACTTATTTATGCTAGTCTCACTAGTCTTCGTTTTTCGACCCATCGATTCAGTTTGCCTTCACTCTTCACTTGTCATTCTATTTATCCCCTCCATGAATCTCTATTTCACATGCCGCATTCGCATTCGCATTCGCATTCGCATCATTTTTGAGCGCAATTTCCTTTTGGCATATCTGCTGAAGAGATTCAAGCCTGTGACCGCTGAGAATTGGGCTTGCGAAGAGAAGAAGGAAGCACGAGTTGGGGGGACTTCGCTACGCTCTCATACATGAGCAATCACAATGTGGTGGGTCTGGGAATGAGTTTAAGGGTATACGGTTTGGTCTACGGAATGCTGTGCATTAATGTGATTCGCACAAATTTGCTAGATTTTCGGACTGCACGAGAAATGGGTTGCACTGCTACAAATCCTAACGTCGCAAGTGACAGAGATGTATACACAGTCTTTCATATAGCAAACCAACAATACTACTTATAAGAGGGTTGCAATACGATCATAGTGCGGGGTTTTAGACACCAGAACAATACAAGACAGAATCGGAAGACAGGTATACGCATCCTCTGAGTATGTAATTCAATCGCAACTCGGTCGGAACAAATACAAACATCTTTTAGATGTATTTGATGGCAAAGCCTGTCCTGCACCGGACCTCTCAATGCCAGTACATACACCTCGAATGTTCATGCGAGTACCTAGTAGTCTCCTAGCAAAACAAGCGCAGAGTACAGAGTAGTCAAGTCTCCGATGCAATCCGATTTCCAAATCATCAACAGCTGGTTTTGCCATGGAATATGTAGAAGCACCTCGATCCAATCCTGTCTAGCTATGTATTTTCACTATTTCTTCTCTTTAAATACTATTCTGGTTTCCCTTCACCGATCCGGATTCTTCCTTTCTGTGAACTTTTTTAAATGGTTGACTGTTCGTCTTCGCCTATCCCATTCATTCCGAACGCTTCTCCATACACCGTCGTGAAACTAAGCGGAGGCTACGATGAATTAAATTTCTCTGTTAAACCAAAGTGCCTCAACACCGCCATACCTACAAACATATATAAACTACAATAAGAAACCCCCTGCCTAGTCCCCCCCTTCAAAAAAAAAAATACAGGTTCCTACATATATTTCACCACAACAGACTCAATACTAGCAGCAACCGGCACAAGACTCGCTTCACTATTCTCTCCACCGCGAACAGGAGTATCATCGGCTACCGAGCCATCATTGCGGTACAGAAAATTGCGACTAAAGAAGAAATTCCAATCGTGAATACTTTGCTTGTCTTCTCTCGTTATCTGGGCGGCGCGGTGTTTTGGTCGCTGAATCGGTTGGCTTTTAGTAGTGGCTTGAGGCGTGTACTAGGAGTGTTGAGAGAGTGATGTGGGTGGGAACTGTAGCCGCAGCGTTTGGGTTGGTGTTTTGTTTGCGCTTGGGATGAGGTGGGTGGATGTTAGGAAGAAGGGGGGAGAAGAGATGTTTGAGGATGCAGGTGTTAGAAAATTGGGAAGCTTGGATGTGGAGGAAGGAGTTGGAATAATACTCGGTCGGGCCACAGATGCAAGGTGTTTGTACTTGATGGAGGGATTACACATTGTAAGATTATTACATCATGATACTTCACCACCTGATGTTAGATTTGGGCGTGGGCAATATAGGCTTTAATATAATTATTCGCGTTGTCACATTATTCAAACTCGTAAGTAAGGAGATGACATATTGTTTAATCTTCTTGTATATGTAGGTATTATCTGAAAACCAGCTTCTCCGCTCATCCCTCTCTCCCATACTAGGTATTACCTCGCCACTAACAAACATCCTCCTCGCCCCCCCTCCGTCCCTATTTCCTACTTCTTGAATCATACTACTACTTGATGCATACACCTTCTCATAACCATCCAAAATCCGCTCCACAGTGGATGGACTAGCGAATGATGCAAGAAATCTTATCTTTTTTTTTTCTAAAAAAAAAACAAAGACTCAAGGTTGAGGTTTGGAGAGTGGTTGAGCGAGAAGTTGCATTTTTCGAGGTGGGTTTGTGTTCTTCCTTTGGGCTTGGATTTGCTGTTTTGGAAGGAGGCTAGGTGGTAGAAACATCTGCCTTGAAACGATGCGACGCGACCCCGAGTGGTCCAGAAACTTTAATGATTTTCGAGGTAGAGCATGGCTTTTGAAAAATCTAAATGGGAAATGTCAGCCAGACTCTTTGTGAACTTGGATAGTATAGATGCAGTAGAAGATATACCTTAACGGATTTACCACCAACACCCTGTTGGTCATGATGAGAATGACACCCTGAATGATAGTTGTGGACGAGGGGTCAGCGAAGCAAAGCAAGATGGAACTATAAATCTGTGAGTACTTGTCTGCCGGTTCTGAATATCTTTACGCGTACAGTTACTACCATCTCTCAACTTTCCTTGATATAAAGGGCATATTTGCTGGTGTTGATCGTGGTAGACTATCCCAGAAGTGTCGCTGGCAAGAACCGGCAAGGGAAGCCATGCCTTGGAAGAACGATCAACGCCGACGCACGCAACTGGGCTGTCAATAACGGCAATAGTAAAAGTTTGCATGAATGCTCGCTGTGACTATGAGCTGACCCTTAGAGAGCGGCGTCGGCGTTGTTCTGCATTGGGGGCGAAGAGTCCTGGTCTATGTTAGAAAAGGTGCAAATTCATAGGTCATCACTTGATAGCTCACCAACTTCCCCAGCCCTCCCATATGAGAATTATCTGACAGAACATTTTGACGGTTTGAGAGTCGTTGATGTTTGCTAGAGTAGTTGCTGGTGTTGATTGTGGTATCTCGTTCCTTTCACCTAGGACTTCTATGGCTAAGAAAGTTTGTGTGGTGCTTTCCTGGTCTTTCAACCCAATTTTACTTGCTGGTGTTGATTGTGGTATGAGCTAGGCCTGTAGTATGCCAAGACACGAATGTCAAGATTCGGAAGTTTAACATCGCGATCGATGGCAGATCAGTGATGACGCTTTTACCTGTTCGTAGATCAGTATTGCAGTTCTCTAGGCCCACCAGTATTGACGACTCACCTCTGACTCGATTGCTTAACTCCAATCAGATGTAGGCAACCTTGGACACACACCAGGCAAGTATCATTCATAAAGTCTCCAAAATACCGAGCACATCCTCTCACAATGAGCCAGGCAACTTTTTTCGACTTCACACAAAATCTAGCACAATCCTTCAGACCAATGCAACCATTGAGAGGTAATACATCGTTCGCACGAAGCAATGAATGTGCCCACAAAGTTCACATTGTAACATGAAAGGAAGCAACACCATCGCAAGCATAGTTCAAGCTCTGTGTGCCGACAGCAGTAAGAAGTATTAAATAGCAGGCCTTTCATCTGGGGATCAATAATACCTGGATACCACAATGAATGTACATGCATCGTTAACACATGATCACCTGGATTCATGATATTCAAGTCAAAGTTGTTGAGAGAGGAGTTTGATATTGGTTCTTGTATACGATTCTGCCTCCTTCGACTTATTGCATTCTTGCTTCCGTAGCCCAAACTCCTTCTGGCGGCAGAAACAGGATGAAAATTGTCGAGATATTCCTATTTTCGACCACAGATTCGAGGTATGGTACTGTAAGTAGGTGGTCAGCAGCTACTCAAATCAGTATTTGATGAGATCGAGGACCAACACTTGATAAATTGCTCTTGAACACAGACTAGGAGGAAAGGTGACCTACACAAAAATCCTGCTGATGTGTTCGTATCTTGCTTCTTGCTTGATTTTACGTCTTGAAGTAGAAGTAGAATTGAAATGGAACAAGCTTGTCGATGACATTGATATGACAGAATAATTGCCCTCAGGAATCACTGCAGATCTGCACATATTATCTGATACGATTAGCTGAGCGCATGGTGAAGAGGGCATCAAATATGCTCACCTGAAACCGCCAATAACTCAAGAATTTGTAATTCGATGGTGGCCTGGTCTGCCATTGAACCAGCTGCTCCATATAACTACCAGAGTCCATAAGGAGATGAAGATGATCAAGGCGCGCAAGATCAGAAGAATATCTAACGCATATTCTGGTGGTTGAAGTCTTCGAATTATTGCAATCGACTCCATTTTGAAGATTGGAAGATTCGAAAAGAGATTTCAAGTGTAGAAGGTAGGTGGACAAAAAGAATCCGACTATATAGGTCGTCCTCTGAGTCACGTAAAGAAGAGAGGAACTTGACAATAAAATGAAAAAGCAATTGTAAAAGAAAAACAAACTTCAGGGTTAGGGCAGAGGGAGAAGAAGGTTAAGATTCTCAGAATTACCCGAGGCTGAGAGGCATAGCTCTAATCGGTGGCTCTCAGTTTTTGTTTAAACTGAGGACTGGAGGCCTGGATTTGAATTATAGAAACAGATTAAGATGTCCAAACGTTACCCCAAAGAATCTGCCACTTGAAAGTGCATGTGCCTCATTTTTGCATGGTTACTGAATCAACGAGACCATGTTTCTAATGCTAAATTTCAACAAGAGAACCAGGTAGTGAGCATTTGGCGTATCTAGGTAGTTTAGGACAAACATGATGGGATGATATTACCCTTGGAAGTCGATAGGACTGAAAATAACT